GCTAAAAGCTTTTTATAATGAAAGGACTTCCAATAACTCTTTGGAATGCTAATGTTGATATCAATGGGTAAATTTAAGGCATCTTTAGCTAAGAAATCAGCAGATATCAATACCTCTAATTCTAAGTGAACTAACAGTTACTAGGGTTTCAATAACTAATTTATCGCAGCTGGTAATACTGTTCAAAAGTTGAAGAGAAGAAAGAGAATATACTTTGAGGATGTTGTCCCATTATCCTGGATACATTTGACGGCAAGATAAATGCACAGAAGTTGCTTGAAAAACTGTGCATTCATTCCGTATACGGTATCTAATCCATATTGAAGAGGAAGAAATTCAAGTGGATTAAATTCCATTTTATTTCCACAATTCATTTAGCACTTTAATCGTGCCTATTTTGAGAACATTTGCATTTTTGAATACTATTGTGATAGGAAAAGAACATAGCTAAATTGTGTCCAAGCAGCAACAGAGGTACAATACATTTATCCAATATGGCAGCTTACCAAAGAGGAAGGTTTCAGTTCTCAAAATTTTGAATTCAAGTTCCCAATAAGCATTATGCAAGCCGTGCAACATAGATTTATCTAGAAATGATACAATCCAGAAATTTAAATTTTTTATAGAATAAAGAGGAAATAACCAAATTAAAAATGAAGAATTAAAAGGCTATTACTAAATTAAATTATAAAGCTGATTTACATGTTTTTTAATTTTACATATATATATGTAAAATGAAAATATTTAAAGTAAACTTTTAATTTTAATTTATGATAGTCCCTTTTATTTTTCATTTTAATTAGAATTTCTCCTTTCTATCATAAAAATAGTAACTATTGATAATATATCAATCTAAACTGCATCATTTCGAAATTAATCTGCATTATAATATCTTACTGCAATGCAGATACCTTTTATCCAGTTGCTGAGTAAAATTTACATACACCAACATACATATTAAGAACTGGAACTTTTCAACTCTCATTTCACTCTTGAATGTGTCACTATTCTGCAGTTTTTTTGCTGTTGCAATTTACTACTGCTTGCTGTCTTCAAAAATATATATATATATATATATATAATGCCCATTTGACTTGTGTTGGCTTTAAAAATGTGTGTCAATCATGACTATAAAAGAAATACCGTAATTTCCGGAAGAAACGCCGCGACGTTTACGTGTTTAAAACTTAAATTTTCAGCGGGTGCGGCGTTTAGGTGCACTAAAAATAAAATATTTCCTATAATGGTCATTGTACATAGTTTGGATGGCTTTGTCATTGTGCATAGACTGGTGCTGTTCCCACACAAAAGACCACTCAGTTGCTTTTTGCGAACGTTATTTTATTTACATTCTTTCCCTTGAACAAACATACATGCCTTATTCACCCTAAATGAGATCTCAGAACAATAACATTCTTCCCCCTTTCAAGTAGTGGTGATCGGTGAGAACCCCAGGGTACCGGTCACTGCGAAGAGCAACCACTGCACTTGTTGCACCCCTAACGGTGCACTCAGTGGCTTCCGAATAGGGCTTACATCCCCCCACATGCTCATAGTATGTATAACAATTACAAAGTACTATGACCGCTACAGGAGAACACGAGCAAGAGAGACCGAATGGTCCAGGGAACCGGAAGGTCCCGGCTCAAAGACAGTGCAGTGATTCACAAACATGTGAGGACACTTTTTGTTCAGAAGACTTCCTAAGTGAAGCTCACAATTGTCTAGAAAATCTAGACAGACTATTAAATAAAGAGAAAATCTCTAAGAGAGTGAGTAAAGAGATAAAAGAACAATTCGTAAATATTTTGAAAGTCCTAACTAAGCAAAATCTTAAAATTGCTAAATTAGAAGGACAACTTGAACAAACTCAAAACTTAGAGGACTATATATCAGGTCTAATAGACACCAAAATGGAAAAAGAGACTTATGTAGATAAAGTTAAGAAATCGAATAATCAAAATTTAAGTAAAGGACAAAGATCCAGATCCAAATCCGTAAAAAAAAAGGAACACGTTCTGTTAGTCTATCCTAAGGATGATGGGGCAACCTCACAGAAGTTAAAGACAAACTAATGGAAAACCTAAACCCTAACTCATTAAAAATAGGAGTTAAAAACGTAAGAAACATAAGAAAGGGAGGAGTAGTTATAGAAACAGTCAAAGAAGATGACCTAAAAATATTAGAAGACGCGATTAAAGAGAATGAGAAATTAAAGGACTTAGTAGAGCCCCAAAGGCCCAAAAAGATTAACCCACGAATCATAATATATAATGTAAAAGAAGACATAGACGGGGATTCCTTAAAGAAAATTTTAAAGACTCAAAACTATGAGTTAGAAGAATCAGACTTAGAAATCAAATTTAATATGAAGGGAAAATATGGGACGAACTGGGTTCTCTCCTTAGACCCCCAAGCCTTTCAAAAGATCATGAAAACTAGAAAAGTTAACATAAATTGGACTAGAAAAACTTAAGGGAATTTATCAAAGTCACTCAATGTGTAAACTGCCTAGGGCTAGGCCACACCAAGAGAACATGTAAAGAACCCCAGAGATGCACAAAATGCAGCAAAGCAGGGCACATAAAGAAAGAATGTCCCAACAGCAAAGAAAGGTGCGCTAACTGCCGAAAGGCTAATCAAGAATTTAATTTAAATTTAAATACTCATCATACAAGTTATGATAAGAATTGTCCGTGCAAACAAAGGGAACTTGAATTAATCAAACAGAAAATAAATTATGGATAAAGTTCTCATAACCCAATTAAACTTACAGCACTCAAGGAGTGCCAGCGTACAACTAAGGCAAGACTTAGAAAATAGTGATGATATTTAAAATCGCGTGTGTGCAAGAACCTTTCCTCATAAAGGACAAGATTTGCGGTTTTCCATTAAAATATAAAATTTTTCAAAGTGACAAAGGAGCCAAGACGGCCATCATAATTAAAGACTCAGGACTTTCTATCCTAGAGATAGTTTCGTCACCAGAAATAGTGGCAATACAAATCGATGGGGCAACCCCCTTCGTTTTAATAACAGTTTATTGTCCCCCCCACAACGAAATAGACGAGATATTAGTGCAAATAGCGCATATAATTCAACAAAAAGAAGAACTCCCCTCCATAATTTGCGGGGACTTCAACGCAAAAAGCACAATATGGGGCCCAGGACCAACAGACCCAAGGGGAACAAAAGTAGGCGAATTCTCAGCCTCCATAAATGCCACAATATTAAATAAATCAGATAGCTCCCCAACCTTTGTAGGAGCCAGAGGCAACTCTTGGATTGATATCACACTTGCCAGGAACACAAGTACCCTTTCCATAGGCAAATGGAAAGTATGCAAAAGAGAGACCTTAAGTGACCACAAAGCGATCAACTTTGAGATAAACTTAACAATAGAAAGACCCCCAAAAGGACTTAGAATGAAAATGTTAAACACAGATTGGCTCAAATTGAGAACAATCTTTCATAGGATATTCAAAGAACATATCCCAATCTCTCAAACAGAGGACATAGATGGTAATATAAACTTAATAACGCATCAATTAAGAGAAGCATATCTCAAATTCCTAAAGCCCTCCCTCAAATACGCACAGGGACACAGGCTAGCATCCCCAAGGGCACACCAAAGTAAAACGTGGTGGACACAAGACCTCACAGAACAGAGAAGAATAGTAAGGCGGTTAAGAAAAGAATTCCAAAACTCAAGGGGGGAGGAAAGGAAACATAGAAAGAAAGACTTTAGACAAAAGAAGAGAGGCGGCACTCTACAGAAGGAAAATTTTCAAAGCAAAATTAGACTTGTGGGAAAACTTCTGGCAAAGTCTAAGATTAAGCTCCCCATTTGGAACATTCTATGACATAGTCAAGGGCAAGGCATACTCCCCCTTAAAGATCTCTAGAACAAAGAAAAGTCCGGGAGTCTGGACTTCAAACATAGAAGACACCATAAGGGCGATCTTAGAATATCACTTCCCACAGGAGGATAGCGAGATCCGGAAATAAAGCAGACACCCCCCCGTTTCGGGAGACGACCCAGATTTCACAATAGAAGAAGTGCGACAAATAATAAAGAGCACCAAAAAGGGCAAAGCCCCGGGAAAAGACGATCTATCACTGGAAATAGTAGAAGAACAATTTCTCACTAATGAGGAATTCTTCGTAAGAATACTAAATGAATGCCTCCAAAGAGGCTATTTTCCCCAACAATGGAAAGAGGCAAATCTAGTTCTCTTTCATAAAGAGGGTAAAGACAGAGAAACACCAGGAGCATACCGGCCAATTTGCCTACTATCAGCTTGGGGCAAAATCCTGGATAAGCTCTTAGCAAAAAGGCTTACATTCTTCCTAATCAAGAATAAATTACTCAACACAAAGCAGTTTGGGTTCACACCAGACACAAGCACAATAGATGCGCTGAGAAGCTTAGTCACGCAAATCCAAGAGAACAAAAGTAATAATCTCCACACTTGCGTGATATCCCTTGATGTGGCCTCCGCATTTAATAATTTGTGGTGGCCAGGGATACTGGCAAGACTACAAGATATAAAGTGCCCCTCGAACATATTCGGACTAATTAAAAGTTACCTTCAAGACAGAACAGTTTCATACAATAGAGACGGGGTCTGCGTGACTCACAAATATTACAAAGGAGCACCCCAAGGGTCCAATTTAGGACCAATACTATGGAACCTAATAGCAGACACCGCGCTAAACTTAGAATTTGAGGGTAATGTAAGCATACAAGCATATGCCGACGATTTCATAATAATAATAGCAGGAGGGAACCGACTAGTAATAGAAAGGAAGGCGCACAAAGCGCTCAGTACAATAAAGGAATGGAGCAACATATAGAAATTAAACTTCAGTATTGAGAAAACAAAGTTCATTTTATTTCCAAAAGGAAATAAACTACAGAGATCCCCACCAAGAATCAAATGGGAGAACATAGCGATCCCAAGATGTGAACACCTAAAATACTTAGGGTTCACGTTAGACCAAAAACTAACTTGGATTCCCCATCTGACAGGAATAAAGGATAAAACACTCAAACTAATTAATAATTTGAACAGAATGGTTTCACACAGATGGAATCTCAAAGGGAACCTCCTTAAATCGCTATACATAAGAGCAATAGAAAGAATGATACTTTACGGGTGCCCAATCTGGTATACCGGCACCGAAAGGGTAAAGACCAAATTAAATCAGATACAAAGGATAGCCCTTTTATGTATCACAAAGGCTTATACAACGTCCCCTACGGCAGGGCTTCAAATACTCGCCGGAACAATCCCATTGGATATCAAAGCAGACATGGAGGCGCAATTTTATAGGGCGGTCCACTTTAAAGAAAATATAAGTATGGGAGACACAACAATCTGGAATAATGAGATAGAGGATAGACTCCCTACAATACAATATCATCCAGCAGAAGCAAAAAGAATTGAATGGGGAAAGGACCCACCAATGAATAAAGACATAGAAATCTTTACAGACGGTTCTAAAATGAACAACAAAGTGGGAGCAGCATGGGTAGCCTTCCAAGACAGTCAGGAAATACACAATGAAAGGACACGTCTAAACAATGACGCAACAGTCTTTCAAGCAGAAGTCCACGCCCTCAGAAGCGCGCTGCTCTGGGCCGGACAGAACGCAAGTTCCTCCAACAGGGTGGCATTCTTCACGGATAGCTTGAGCACATTACATAGCCTTAACAGCGGCAAAATCTCAAAGAGAAGCATACAAAGTTTAAGAGAAATAATTAATACGCTCATATCAACGCACAAGTGTCCCTCAATTGGGTCAAAGCCCACCAAGGGACGCTGGGTAATGAAAGAGCGGATAAAGAGGCTAAGAACGCGACGGACAAAGAAGTAATAGACGTACACGTTCCTCTCTCAGAGGAAGTAGCTAAGAACAGACTACACAAAGAAGCTCTTAAACAATGGCAGGAAAGGTGGGACGAGGGGACAACAGGTCGGATGACATATAAAATCTTCCCTAAAGTCTCAACAACTAGACTAAAGAGCAATTATTACGAAAACCAAGCACTGAGTAATCACGGCAACTTCCCATCTTATATAACAAGATTCCACAAAAAGAAAGTAAGATGCGCCTGCGGCACTAGCGGCAGCCTCGCGGACGCAGCTCATTACATAAAGACCTGCCCTTTAACAGCGCTAGACAGAAAACGTCTGTTCCCGCCCTCTCTCTCCTCATTAGAGACGGAACACTTGGAAAAATATCCAATAGGAATTAAAGGGATAAGAGAAATCATAAAGAAAGTCACCGATCAAGACACGCATCACCATTTCATAGAGTTTTTGTAGCAATCGTTCGACTCCTGTTAAGTCCAAGGTTTACTCTATGATTAACGCTACAGGACATCGAAGTCTATGTTTTTCAACTTTTCTTCGACTCATGTATATATGTAAATAATGTAAATATTGTTCTGTTTTTCTCTGTATATAATTTTATATTATTATATAAAGTTAATTAAATTTAAGAGGATCGTGATTGAGATCCCCAAATAAAACAATTTGTTGGCGAGACACATCTCTCCCCAGCAATATAATCCAGTCAGATGAGATCGTAGGGTGGTTAAAGCGGATGGAAACTTAGCTTCAGGCTCTCCGCCCGCACTTAACCTAGCTATTTGGCATAAAACTACTTACGGCACCTAAGACCGGTGAAACATCATACAAATGGTTATCATCTCCTCCCGCCAGATACGGAGGATGGATAAGTGATAGTGTCTACGTGGATACCATACCACTTACGAATGCAACAACTCGGTCCTCTCACCTGCTCCTCCCACTGAGACAGGGAGGGAGTCATAGGTTTCCCACAGTTGTAATTCAATTACAGGAGTGGAGAGTAAAATTGATTGATTGATTCCCCCTTTCAAATCAACAATCTCATCAGTTTGAATAGTCTCTCTCCTCTGCCAATCGATGAATCTTCCAGGACCCATCCTCTCCCCACCCCTGCCTTTTCTGCAATTTTTTTCAAAGGCGGACACAACTCCACCTGCTTGAAATAACGAACTCTGACGTATTTCCCCTTCAGCATGAATGGATTTTTCTTGGCATTCTGCCAAATACAGATCCCGTCAGTTTGAGTACAAGTACTTGTTGGAGAGTTTTTAATTAGGGAGCGGAAAATTTTTGAAAATGTCTCTAAACAGCACAGAAGCTATACATTTCTTACCTTTAATTTATTTTTGAGTTATGGTTTCATTTCATGCATTTTTCTTAACTGGTATGTCATATATCAGGACTTAGGTTGAGTTTTTGCATCTATGCGGCCCACGACGATGTCACGTTGCAATTTAATATCTATTGCGGCGTTTATGCTGATGCGGCGTTTCTGTGTAATTTTAATTTTTTTCCCGCCATTTTTCTCGAGTGCGGCGTTTACGCTGATGCGGCCTTTCTTCCGGAAATTTCGGTAATTAAATTCAGATACATCTGCAAGTTTCTGCTCCTTTATGCATTTGTTTATGATCTCAATAACTCTCTCAAGTTATTGCATATATATTCACTTAAAATCATGGTAGGCTGAGCTAGATTTGTGAATTATATTGATGCCACTAAAGCCACTGAATGCAGGTAATTCATTATGGGCCATGTTATGAACCAAATGGGTTTGCTGCATGGATAACATGAATGAGAAAGTGCATTCTTCCTGTAGATATAGGCTTCACATGTTTTTCATTAATTAAATCTGTTACTTAATCAACCGTTTAGACTATTTGTTTAATACACTTTTGTATTATTATTTGAAAGAAGGTTTAAACTAACTATTAAATTGTTAGTTTGTTTTAGTTTTAACATATTGTTTCAATTCTTTAATTAACTTTCTGTAAACATTACCTGTACCTATTTATTAACGTAATTATTTCCAGGTTGTTCGAATGCTTTTGGAGAGGTGTTATCAGGCGCTATTTAATTTAATTACGATAAGTGAAAAGCAGAATCAAGAAAACAAGAGATTACTTGAAAAAAAGCAGAGGATTGATGCCATTGTTGCTTCATTGAAACAAAGTGGGGCTGAGGAAGATCAAATTGAAGAGGTAGCTTTTTTTCTTTTCAAATGTGTTTCAGTAAATTATTTTTGGGGCAAATTAAGTAACCATATGCAATACTTTTTTTTATACCAGTGTTGCTTCTTAGGCCATTTTTATTTAATTTTTTTAATTGTATTTTGTAATTATAAATGGGTTTATTAGCCTAGACAAAATATTTTTGCTTCTCGAGAAAGAATGTTTATTGTATTTGTTCAAAATGCATAGTCTGTCTTGTGTTAAATTTTGCTTAATTTTTAAGTTCATTTTCACATGCTTCTCTTGCAACAATTGTTTATGTTTCTCTTAATTTAGTAATGGTAGAAAACGTTTTAAAGTATAATTAGGCATTTAAACAGCTTATTTAGTAATTTTGTATTTATTACCAGTGGCGGCTCGTGGCTAAAATTAGTGGGGGTGCTGTTCCAAAAAAATTTAACCTTTGTTTTAAAATTGTCTAAAAGTAAACAAAATGTATAAAAAGAAAAATTTATTTTGAAACTTTATCATGAAATATTACAAGAAAAAAAATTCAACATTTCTTAATTACTTTAACCAAAATTGCTACATTTGTCTATTCTTTGTCTGTTCAATTAAAAATGAAATCCATTCTTCTTGTTTTAATTTGCGCAAAAAGATCAAAATTTTCTTCTTGATCTCTGGATGACAACTGAGGAAATTTTTCTTTATTGAAAGCAATGCAAGCGCATTTAGTTTTTCTGAGTTTCTAGTGTTTCTTAGAAAAGTTTTCATTCTTTTGAATGTTGAAAAGCAGCATTCTGCCTCTGATGTAGTCATGGGAACTCTCAAGAGAATCTTTATCAGTTTCATAATTTCACTAAGAACATCATCTAGATTATTTTCGAAGATAAATTTCAGTAGCTCAATGAGTTTGAAGTATTCATGGATATCAGACCTACAATAGAATACTTTTAGTTCAGTTTCAAGAGCTTTTCTTTGTCAATCATTGGATATGCTTCAATGGTCAGTACTATTTCTTCTGTAAAATGTTCATTCCTAAAACTAAGCATTTCTTGTTAAACAATTTAGCAGCTGCTAAGTGTTTAGTGAAAGAATATCTGTGCATTGTATCAATGCATAGTTTTAAGTCTAGTGGAAGAATATCTGTGCATTATATCAATACCTAAAGTCACATATTTCCTTAGCTTCTGCCATCCGTGTCTTTGAAAAATTATCACAACACTTTGAGTTTCTTAATTCTAAAATAGCAGTTTTGAAATTTGTTATATATTCATTAACTTTAAACACACTAATTTCTGTGGATTGCATTTAGTTGTATATTATTTCAATATGAGGCATCTTGATAAAAAGCTGTAACCAAAACTTGAAATTATCATAATTTAGATATTTTAAAATTCCTGTTGTTTTTGCTATAGTTTGATCTGCATTTGATGTTGACTGAATTTCAGTAAGGCAGTTTTTTAAAAGTTGCAAATTTTCATGAACTCTGTTTATGATCCATATAGTGAAGTTCCACCTTGTGGAGAAATACCATACGCATGGAGTAAAAAGAAATCACGTTTTTCAACAACATGCCAGAATTTCGGCACTGCAAGAGCGAGAGTGCTCCTCTCTCTACCCGGCTGGTGTGCTGCTTTCTGTGTGCACATGCGCAGAACAGCCAAACACCACGTCGCTGGATATAGACCAATATATTCCAAATATAGCAGTTCCAAATATAGACTTTCGTACCTCTTTCACAATGTGGGGGATAGCTACTGACATTAAGGATTATGTATTGTAAAAGTATAAAGAAAGAATTAAAGACTAAAGGGCACACTATATTAAAAATAATAATAAGTGGAAATAGGAGGTGCTGCAGTTCCACAGTGCTTGTTACGAGCTGCCACTGTTTATTACAAACTCATATTCCATATAAATTTCAAACCATATATGTAATTACAAAAGTAACAAAATTAGTTATTGCTGCAAGCTTAACTACCAGAGATGCTACAAATATCAAAGGAGTTAAAAATGTTTTTGATTTAGGGCATCCTAAGCAATTAACTAAATAATAGTTATTGCTTTTAAAAAATTAAAAACTTTTAAAATAAGAGGAGGAAAATTTTTATTAAGTAAATAATACCAAAAGTATTAATGTTTTAACAAGGAGCATTTACTTTTTTATTTGCCGTTACTGATGAAATGTGCTTACTCGTTTATCAGAAATAGACTAATTAAATGTTTTAAAATATTTGCTCTTTCTTTTTATGAGAGAAACAGCCATTAACAGCAATGCTTAGGATTTTGGGAAGAGGAGGATGATTGCTTAGCAATAGTGAAAGGAGTGTGTGGGACAAAAAAAGATTTGAGAACCACTATACTAATGCTATCCTATCTGAGAAGGGCTGACTTTGACCAAGTCCTCATTTGACAAACTTCTGTTGGGAATATCTGTGTAATGCATGAACTCTTGGCCTTTTAGATCTCAAAATCTTTCTCTAATGAATGTATCTGTGCAAGTAATTGATTGATTTCTATCCAATTTTGATCACCTCTGAATCTTCATCACTGCATTACTCATTTAAATTTCATCATGATTGTATGATTTTTCTCTAGATGCGCAGGTTTTCTTTTGACCTTGTATTATGAAGTGAGGTTCTGAAAATGATTAAATATAATATCAATTTATCAGTAAAACTGATCATTTGTGAGTGTTCTCAATAATTATAATTTGAATGGAATTTTTCCTGAAACTACACAAAAATATTTATCTCCTTATATACTGCTGAAGTAGTTGCCATGAAGTAGCTGTTGCTGAAGTAGTCACATTCATGAAAACATTTGGTAATTCAGGGATCAGTGACCAGAGGGTTAAGTTTTTATTTTATTTTATTTTATCCATTTAATATTGTATTTATCTTGTTTGCTTTATATTTAATGAGTTCCACTGGTTTGAGATTATGAGTTTGAGCACTGTTGTAAAGTTTAAATAAATAATCATCTGTGGGCTAGGAACAAATTAATGCATCTTACATTATGGGGAGAATTATTTCAATTGGTGAACGGCCTTCAGGAACGAATTAAATCTGTGAAGCTAGGTTTTATTGTACATCTTTTAAATCTCGCATAACTCCCCTCCCCTTAACTTTCAAGCAGTAATATTTACAGAAAAGAAGTGGGGCCTGTTAGGTGACCCTAAAAACCCAAAATATCAAGATCATGATAGAATTTTTCACAAAAGAGATATGAAGAAGTAAATTATTATTAAATTACAGTCAATTAAATATTCTATTCCAGTGGGTTCGAAATTTTCAACTGAACTTAGCTTACAAATAAAATGCATCTATTCATGAAATTAAAAACAAAATTAAATCCTTTAATATTAAAAATCAAATAACAGTAATAACTTTATAAACAGTTTTAAATCAGTTTGAACTAATAATTAAAAGTTAACTTAACAGAATTTTTTTCTCTGAAAAATTTTTTTATTAAAAAATAGCAATGTTATCTGCAGTATTCCTTTCAGTTAAAGTTGCTAATCTGATCAACCCCGTTTGTGATCTTGGTCAGTGGTCATTATTTTAATTTTAGAGGAACTACTTTCTCCATCAAGTAATATTATGCATATATTCGACTACAACATTTGAATACTGAGCCTATTAATAAAGGAACCATCTAGAAAAGTAATGGTTTTCTGAGTGAAACCTTGTACACTCAAAAAGTGTGTCACACAGGAAATTTCCATCAATATCCGATTTAGAGTCATCTGTTAATTTTACAAAAGTTCAGTTTTTCTTTAAGTCAGGATCCATAATAATCCCAAATTGTTTTAAGAGGATGTTTATAAATTGCTTTCATTTTATTGCAGTAAATAGATGCTGCTTAATGTGATTGTGATTAATGTTATCATTCGGGTATTGTTATTGATTTTCCCATGTCCTACCTGCTTGTATGTGAAGACATTGAAAATGCATCGCTTATTGCAATCAGCAATACAGTTAATATGATCAAACCATTAAATTTTTTTTTTTTTTTTTTTTTTTTTTTTAATGGTTGCTTTTTTTCTGCCAAGAACACGAATGTGAATTTTCCCCTTGCCCGCAGCACCCTGTGATTCAGGATTACATCCATGTCCCCAATGTTGGCTTGGTACTTTGCAAAGCAGACTCTTTGTGAGTAGTGTCATTGGTTATCGTCACTGCCTTGCAGATGATCTCTTGGATTTTATTTTCACCTGTCTCTAAGCCGCAGTGTTGTCTGCAGTCAGAGGTTTGGTAAAAGTTTCCAGCTGTGAAGTTACAGAAAAGTTTACTAAGTCATAAAATAAAAGATAAGTTTGGAAAATAAGGTCAAAATAGATTAACAATTTAAAATTTGGCCTTAAAAATAATCTTGATTTGAGGTAGATTTTGAATAATTCTTATCGATTTTGAGAGTGTTCACACAGAACTGTTTCTTTTTTCAGGCGGAGGAATTCTGGATATTTTTTTTTTTTTTTTCCTTGAAAAAAGTTCTCTGAAAACATCTGTCATGCTAAGGCTGTTTTTTTGCTTAATTCAAAATTTAATATTGGCATATTTTCTTCCATTGAGTTATGTCTTCTTAATATTAAGATTAGGGATACAGCATCGATGATGAAATTTTGAGAAATGTTATGAACCTTTCATAAATGAACTCTTGCATTTAAGACATTAACAACAGTTCATAAATAAATGTTTGCTATTTTTTAAATTAAAGTACTGTGGATATACCTATATGTTTCTTGATACTTTTATTATAATTAGTTAAATTCCATTGCTATTTTGAAAGACATTTTTTCCTCATTTAATGTTATCAAAATAACCATGGACAAACATGATCAAATTAAGGGACACCTACTGTGTATCATTTCTTAAAATTGTGGAAGTTGTATGTAACAAAGAATGAATAAAACTATTTTCATCTGTGCACTTTATAAGAATTGCATGAAAAAATGGATGAGGTAGAGGGAAAGGTAAGCTAAAGCCATTGCCAGTGTTAGAATGAGAATAAATCTAATTCTACAAAAAACAGGTAACTTCTATGTCGACCCCAGTGTTTGTTCTTCAAAAAATCTTGATTGTCTGTCACGATGATTCTAGTATTTAGTGCAATTGCCTTACCTTGCCTTGAAACTGGAAGGGAGAAATACACAAGTGAATATGGAATCACTCTGTTTTCAGGACTTATTCTCTACATAATTTTCATAATTAATTAAGTGTATTTAAAACAAAAATTCGAAACTTTTTTATAATTTGCATGTAAGAATCTGTAAACTCTTTTCAGGTTCAGCATATCATAACACCGCCAGAAGAAGCTGTGATAAACAAAATTTCTCATATAACCCAAAAGATTGATTCAAGTCAAATTCAAATTGGAGAAATGATATCAATTTTAGACTGTTGGCTAGACTGTTGTAAATGTAAATAATGTATTATAGGCAAACAAATTTGTTATATTTATAACAATATTTTATTTAATAAATCAAATTTTATAAATAATAAAAAATGGTGGTGGTTTTTTCCCCCATATTTAAAATTGGTAAGCACTCGAATTATCCTAAAGTTAACTTTGAAATTTTTAATTAGCAGTAGACTTTGACTATCTCTTTTTCAAGATCCACAACTGTTTTCAAATTTTTTCTCAAGCATGGTATTTTTGAAATGCACCAGGAGCAGATAAAAGTTAAACAAAAATACTTCAAAATACTTTTATATCATAGAAAAAAATATTTTTGCTTTTTTGTTTATTTCTCAGAAATTATGTAGTAAAAAAAATAACTTTATTAATTGTTGAAAACTTTCAATGCTTTTGACTTATTCACGGATTTTTGTGGTAACTTATCATTTTATGGTATTATTTTGTGGTAACTTTGTGTTTATATTGGAATGTCAGTTTCCTGTTGAATTTAAACTGTAGACTTAAAATTCTGATTTTTCACCTATTATACTTGTTATTTTTTGTATCTCAGTTTCAAGCATATTCTTGTAATTTTAGTCTATTCTGTATCTTAATCAAAATTTTCTAACCCTTCAAGGAAACTAGTTTAGTAGTCATAATTTATCTTGCAGCCTTTTATTAAAATATTTATTCCAATAAGAATAAGAATTGAGTTATTAAAGAAAATATAAATTTAAAATATTATTTTGATGAAAAAGTTTAGTTCTGTGTTACGCTTTTTAATTAAAATTATTATAATTTCATCATAAATTTGAAGGAATCAAACTTCTCCAATTTTACTTTCACATGGAGCATCTTACAGCTGTTTCAGTATTAAACTGTATATAACTTGCCCAAGCTTCAGTGAAGTAAATATTGATATTCTTTCCATTGACATCAAATTATTTATTAACTAAATTTGAGTATGCATAGTGCATTAAATTTAATCTGATTCTCAAACTTACAAAATTTCTGAAAAAAACTATATATGAATCTTCTTACCTAAAAATATATATTGCTAAAGACATAATGCCTAAAACTCTGTAGATAAAGTAACTAAAAACATTTCCTTGAATGATGATATTCGGTGATGGAAAGCCATTTGAGATTTTTCTAAAATTCAAAATACAATTGTCCTAAGCCTTACAGAAACAAAAATACAAAATAATAAAGAAATAAGTACACATGCAGCTTTATTTGCATATAGGTATTCGTCTATCAGCTTCAGTTACTGCATTTATTGATTTATTAGGTGCTTACATCTAGTTAGGTACTTGTGTCTAGTTACCATGATGCTGTCGCCAAATAGTGGTATTTAGTGCCAGTTAAGGAGAAACATGATGTAACAACTTATTATACCTGTATATTCATTTAAAGTAATTCTTTATAAGTCACCTTTTTATGAAAATGATGTAAGTTAACATGTTTCTGTATTTTTTCTTGCATTTTGAAGAATTATGATTAAAATTTAGGACCTGTGTTCTACAGAACAGCAAACCTTGAATTAATTTCAAAGGTGTGGGATCCTATCATCAGAAAAGTGTATTAGTTTGGTTTCCATATATGTGTAGCAAAGCACTCAGGGGCTATCTGCCTAAGGAGAGGTATGTTTTCAGAGAGGGCATTCTAAAGGAAACTGACTCTTATACATATGGGAAAAACCAGGAAAATGCCCATGCAGCCAGCCTGTTCACTGGAATTCGAATCCTGGACCTGACTACCAATGTTCAGTGACTTTACTGCTTAGCTGCTGGTGAGCCTCAAATTTTTATAGGATCTCTGCACAAATCTCTGAGGGATTTTATAATCAAATATAGAGTTTCTATAATCTGTAAACATAACCCTGCAGAAGCTTTGTCTAAAATTTTACAGAACTCTATAGAAGATCTCTGACCTAATTAATAGAAAATTGGGCCATAATTCTAAAGGATTCTAAAAAAGCCTATCATAGAATTTTTTTTTTAAATAGAATTTTGTAAGGGCTGCTTCCACGAGTTAGAAATGAAAAAATAAAGTTAAAAATAGCATTAAAAAAAACAATATTTACAAGAGAACTTGAACAATATCATTAAATTCACATTCTCTTACAGGGGGGGGAAATGGTAGAGCATTTGACTACAGATTTAGAGGTCTGTGTTTCAAACCCGGATTCCCCCTTTTATTTTAGTTTATGAATTTTAGAAAGTGTCTGTGAGAAATGATAACTATGACATCATCTGCTGTTATGTGAAGTGCTTTTCTTTCCCTTTTTTATTTTCCGCTGACGATATATGATATATGATAGTATTTTCTTCAGCATTCCGTAATAAACAAAGAAAACTTTTTTTAAAGATAAGTTCTGATTAATCTGAACTGTGATTTATCCCTCTTGGCTGCCTATCCCGCGATTTTCACGGGCAACATAGAAGTAACAAAATTTGCGCAGCCCGCGACTTCCGCTTGGAATGCATATTTTCTGCTTATTTAACTGTGCAACTCGCTCCTTTCCCGTTCATGGTTTCGCTTCGGCTCTTCTGTGATGTTTAATTATTTATTCAGATCTGGGTTAACAGATGGCATTAGTTGCCTATATTTTTGCGAAATATACAAACACGTTTTGCACCATTTTGTACTCTCTTTTCAAAGCTCAAAGATGTCTGAAGCATTGAAAGACTCTCAGTCACATGAGACTAACTGCTCGACATTTTGCTATATATATATCCCCTAATTCCATCAAGAAAGAAACTTGTAGACATTGTGCTGTTTGTATCTAAAAAAGAACTGAAACTGGTAAAACAATTCTCAAAGAAACGCATATTTGGTGCAAAAATAGCGAGGTAGGATGCCTCGAGCCTTGTTTTGAAGTTTATCGTATTACACTTCATTTCTAATAAATGTTTTATAAATATTTTGCGTATTTTCATTAGCATATACATTTTACCATTACATTTTATAAATTAAATCATAATTTAACCAAGATTAATTTTCAAAATTTTTCTTTTCTATGATTATTTTTCAGTTTAAACTTTTCGACAACCTTTTTTTATGAGTTAATTCTATACTGAAAAAAAACTCATTTACAAAAATTTTTTGTATATTTTAAGTCTAAAATATATGTAGATCTGAAATATGTAAACAAAAAAATGATGCAGCGAGAGGGTTAACATTTAATAAAATATGCCTGTATGTTTTATTATATATGCATTCTCTGTGATTCCATGTGAAACAAAAAGTTTCTGATTTAAGATTTACATAACAACTCAAATGTAAAAATCTGGAATTTGGTTTTCATGCAGTTTTTGGATACCCTGATCTGACTAATAGGTGCTTATGATGCATCTAATAAATATATAAAATAACTGTTTCTGAGCACTTTCAAGAAGGGAAGTGGGCAAATTAGGAAAGTAAACACTATTTTTGTTCTCCATATATATTTAATCATGTATTTTGGCTGCTTAACCTGGCCTCAGTCGAATGACATGTAGGAAGAGAAATGTAAATAATTTTCAAGAACATCAAGTACTGCATAGGTACTGTGTAGGTGCTTTTTTGTCATTAGTCATTCTTAACCATGATATTTAGTTCTTTAACAGCATAAAAAGGGCCATTTTGTTTGCTTTTATACATTAATATTTTTCACAAGGTATAAGTAACCATATTACTTTAATTGAAATGTTTATTGTCATCCATAAACTGTCAAAATTCGGCTTGGCATTGATGTAACTCAATAATACTTAGAGTTATTGGTCCAAAATGTCCATCTATGCACCATGGGCATTGATATGTAGAATGCTAATTTTCATAGTTGAGAAGGAAGAAATTGAATGTTTAGAAATTTTCGGTCTTTAAATTTACAAAGAAATGTATAAGCAAGGTCCAGAACAATATATGAACTTGTATTATAATTAATAATATAAAATTATATTATTAATTATAATACAAGTTCTACAAAAACTTAAAGGTGCTAGCAGTAAGTAAGAAGTATTGTTAAGAATTATACAGTGAACTCTCCCTTGGCAACTCTCTCTCTGTAAGCTATCTCTGGAAAAGATAAGTATTTCTGAGAACATAAATAAACATCAATATTGAAGTTCACCTCACTGAAACCACCACCTCCAAGAGAAATCCAAGACGTGGTACAATGGGAGTTGGAGAGTTATCTTAGAAAGGGATTGTAGTAAGCTGGTTTTAACAATTCCTTTTGTTGTACTGTTAACAAAGGATGAACTATCCTAATTCGTATGATGAATGAAACACCTTCTGTATGATTAATGGGTGTTTAACTGAATTAGAGGAAGAATGCTAGCGCTGCGTACCTTAAGGGATACTTTCATAAATGATATTGTTTATGTGACATTGTGTTCATTAGTAAATAATGAGCTGCAATCTGCCATATTTTGTTTGGTGGTGAGAGCTTTAGCACATTTTTATTGGATTATGGGTTTAAAAACTCCGAATAATCTATATGGATGGACAGTTTTTGATGAAGTTATTTGGAAAGAATACAACAATTTGAACGATAAAAATAGTTTTTATTTTTTTTAAATATTTCATCGGAAAACATTCATTGAAAAGAGTATGCGCCTATCTGGTGTACAAACGTGATAGGGGTCAGAGACACTGAACGCTGGTAGTTCGGTCTTGGGTTCGAATTCTGGTGAATGGGCTGGCTGTATGGTCGTTTTTATGGTTTTTCCCATGTGTAACATGTATACGAGTCAATTCCCCGTAGAAAGTCCTCCATGAAGGCATGTCCCCTTTGGCAGGTTCTCCTAGTGCTTTGTCAAAATTAAAATAAATCAAACTTGATAGGAATTGCCAAGGAATCAATCACCAGTTTCTAGTTTAAAGGGAAGAAATCCAAAACTGCACTTCTTTGGAAAATGATATTGATTATAATCCTTCAGTTTCATTTAGAAAATAATTTTTATAAAAGCTTACATATTTTATTGTGATGTGAATGCAATCCTTTTCAATGGCATAGGCTTAATGAAAACTGATTTGCTATTAGAAGTGTGCAAATAAAACATTTATTCCCTTTCTTAAAACTAATACCAGAAGGTAAGTGAAAAATGTATTTTCAATTGTGA